CAACCGCATTGTTGTTATCGCCACGGGCTCCGGAATCGGCCCTCTGCTCGGACACATTGGCCAGCCCAGCTGCCCGACTCAGCTCATCTGGTCAACTCCAAATCCTGAGAAGACGTTTGGCAAGAAGGTTCTTGACACGATTTACGACTCTATCCCAGATGCCGTCATTCACGATACCAAGAAGCTGGGTCGCCCCGATCTGGTCAAAATGGGCTACAATCTAGCCAAAGACTTTGGAGCCGAAGCTGTTATTATTATTGCAAACGAGAAGATCACCAAAAAGGTGGTCTACGGCCTCGAGACTCGAGGACTTCCCGCATACGGAGCCATCTGGGATAGTTGAAATGGTGTCGCTCAACAGTCGTTGCACCCCTCATCCTGCGCCCTCTTTTTTTTTTCTCTCTTTTTGTCGATTCTGGCCTGCGAGAGGCAGATCTCCGGGCCACAAACTCTATCCAATTGATACCCTACCACTCTCTGTATAATGCCCCAATGCTATTTTTGCATATATCAACGGCGGTTGAAATATGGGCGGTCTAGTCATTTTTTTGTTCTCTCTCATTGTTTTTGGAGGCATTGTCATCGACAGTCAACAGCATGCGAACATGGAGCACGGAGGGAAATTTGATCTGATATAGAACTTTTGCTCTCTTTTTTTTTTTTCCTTTGTGCTCTTTTTCGTTTTTTCATTTTTTATTTTTACGGCATGGTGGCAACTTTCGTTTTGTTCTTTGTTTAGGCGCGTATAGTATTTACAATGCAATGAACCTGCCACGGTGGCGGACAGTTATTGCTACGTTTTGGTTTGTTGGCCGTTTGTGTTGTCCTTGCCGCAAGAAGTATCGGGGACGGCATTTGGGGTCCCATCAGATCTGGATCTAATCTGGAAATCTGAAGCGGCCCCACTCTTCGGCGATGTGCGGCTCTGTCCGGCCCGGTGCTAAGCTAGTGGACCTGCCACACCGGCGGCCCGTTTTGTGCATGATATCGCATGGTACGCGTACGTAGTAACCAGTATCCACACGCACCCATCACGCCGGTCCCAGGAAAAGAAAGCTCTCTAGCATCTGGCGGCGGCTAGCTGCATCGGAGAGGGCGTGGCTTCAAACTGGATCGATCTTGTCCCATGCACGAATGCGTTGCCCTAGGCCGCCATGGCACGTGGCTTGCAGCAAAGAAGGCTCCGACGGGTCTAACGCGGGTCCAACGGGGGGGGGTCCATCGGTGTAGTTGGGACCAGAATAGCACGGGAGCTGTGTACGCCGAGTTGTAGTGGTACCATGTCGCAACCTGGTGCCCGTGATAGGGCTGCCAGGACGAGGTACGGCGCCGGCCTTGCCTTGCCGCATGCTGTGTCTGTGTCAGTCCTCGACCGGTCTCATCACATACATGTTTGCTGCTAGAGTGGGAGGACAGCCGGCCGTCAAGAGATGAGTGACACTTGGGATACTGGAGGCTGGGGTGCGGATACGCCCCCCCCTTTTTTTCCCTTTGGGTGAAGGGGGTTTTTCTGGCCCGGCGCTCTGTGACCTGGTGCATTCTCGCGACGGGCGTCTTCTGGTGGGGTGGGAGGGGAGGGCTTGCGTGCCTTGGGGCAGCGGTGGGCTATACGTTGGCTGGTGTTGAGATGCGTCCGCGGCATGTTGCGGTCAATGGGGTGTAGTGCGCGTCTGGGGGCTGGCTGTGTCGTGCTGTGTGATGTCTGGGGACGGGATGCGTGTCTGGATCTTGAGACGTGCGTCGACGTACGCGGGGTAGAATGACGGGAATGGCTTTACTATCTGGGTCATTGAGGGGGGGTAACGGGTAACGGGTAACGGTTCCTGAATCCTGGGATGCTGTCGAAATAAGTGTGGCGGGTGGGTGTATAAGCCTACGAGTGATGGCACAAGTTTGTTGCTTTGTACGAACGAGTGCGTCTATGGCAATGTTTCTCAGTGTGTGTATATTATGATTTGTGAAGTGGGAACTTGGGATCCTGCACAAACCAATTTCAAGATTTCTTGCCATTGTGCGGAAGGGCAGCGTTGAGCGTGTCTTGCTGCAACATGAAGCTTTGTACGATTCGGGGGCGGGTTAGTTGGCTCTTTCTCTTGATGGCATGCGTGGCTGGGATGCTGGGTAGTTTGTTTGCTACTCCGTCCTGTTGTGGTAGTATCCGGGGGCGAAAAAGGAAACAGTTTGACAAATCTTTAGAGCTTAGCTGTGGTTATACAAGGTTTTTCTTTTTCTTTTTGCCCCCTTCTCCCTATATATACATGGACGTGTCGTACGGAATAAGATGCGGTAGGACAAAGACGGTAGAATGTCTTGCATGCGGCCTGGGGGACTTTTATCAAGGATGCCAAGTCAGAATGAGGTTGGAGGGAAACCGGGGACTCTAATTAGACTGTTTATTTGCTGAGCCGAGCGACGTCATATGCAACATTCAACGGTGGCACGTTGCTGCTCGCATCTGGAAGGGATACGTAGTCCAAGGAGTTGACGTTGCCTGTCACGTGCAATGCTTATGCAAGCTGTTGCCATTACCACAGATTGAGTTTGTTTGTGCGTTTCATTGCGTTTCGACTCTGGTGGTCATTTTCATGTGGCGACGCCGACTTGATTGGTGCGTCGAGTTGCTTGCACCAGGCTGCGCTTCTGGAACGCGGGCATGCCGCTCGTCATGTGTAGATTGGAATAACTCTGTTTTAGCCGTGTTTCTCTGGCGCGCCAATGGATGGTGAGTTGACGGCAAGCCGGATGCGCCGCAGTTGGTGTGGTTTGCTGTGCGTCATGGACTCGGGGCCCGGGTAACGTCGCAGCATTGCCGAGCATTGTGAGAGAATAGGGTTCGAGATTGCACGTTACAAAAGAGGAGCCTATTCGCCATTTGTCCTCCCTATGGTACCATGACAACAGGCTAAAAAGGCTTGTCTCTCATGCTCGTCGAGTCGAGCCACTGGCACGTCTCGGCTGCCAGGCAATGCACACCAGGCCTCTCGGCTAATACGCGCACTCCTCTCTTGCCGAGAGGGTAATTTATCTAACAAGATGACAAGATAGATGAGGAAAAAAGAAACGACTCATGTGTGCATGGTCCCATCTGGAATTTGCATCATGACCGCTTCGGGGCTGCGGGTGAGAAAGTCGGCAGTTGCGAGGCGCAGGGCGGAGAAGACGACATCTGGAGCTCGTCGACTTGGGATTCAGCCCGTCGGAACCAAGCTTGCTTCTCCGGCGCGCGTGCTGCCAACGGCGTGCGTTTGTTATGTTGTGTTTGCTTGGATGGTTGGTTGGAAGCGTTGATTCGGGGGGAGATGGGGGGAGTGTGGCGGATGCGCTTCTTTCTGCACCGGCTTGTGTTACCGATGATGGATGGATGGATCGATTCGTGTCCATGTACATGCAAGGAGCCGCGTACTACGCCCTCGTTGCCGGCCATGTCGGCTGCGGGCTGAGGCATTGCAGCGCGTGCGACCGGCTCTGCGTGTGTGGACGTATGGTTTACTACCGAGTACGGAGTATAGTATTGATGTATCTATTAATATGTCTGGAGACACTGCTGGCGTCGTACACGGCCGCGTACTGGCTGCGCTTGGTGCCATGGACGCACATGTTGCTATTATACTTGACTGCACATGTCGACCAACTACAGCTACATCTATCGTCTTACACGTCGCCACACACGTCGTCTTCAACGCAGATGGGGAAACGGCCACCCCCCTTTGGCCTATCTGGGCAAACGGCCAAAGTCAATTCTCGCGTCTAGTCGACATTGGGCCTCTTTTGCCGCGGTGCACCAGGCCCAACAAGGCAGGCCGCCTTCACCGACACATGGCTGGTCCTAGTTCATGACACACAGCGGGCGGTTCATGCGCCTGGGACAGAATAGGAAATGCCCGCAGGTGCTCAAGAAGCTTAGGGAGAAGAGGGGGAGGGGGCGTGGCTGCGTCTGCGTTTTCAATATGGTCATCAATGTGGTCATGTTCGGAGGGGGAAGCCAGTCAGGTTCAAATGGCGGTCACAAATTCACCATGGCTGAAAGGTTGTCGCCAGTCGGACCCGGGATAAGCGTCACGGCCAGATGAGGATGGCGTGGGGAGACATGAATCGCGTCGACATGCTGCCTCGACGGCCCATATCATCGACATGTGTGGCTTGGACTCCGGCCTTGTTGTCTGGACATGTATTCTCGAGGGGATCCTAGGAGTCGTTTCCTTCTCACGCCCCCGGGGGTTTATGCATACTCGTTAACGCACCAAGTGGAGTCTCAAACGGGTGACATCTGTCACAAGTATATTGTGTAAATTGCAGCACTGTAATTCATGCCCTCATGTTGAGTGTACATGTGTTTCGAGTTGAATGACACAGTATGCAGTGATGCACGGTTGTTGCGGATTGATGACTGTGGAACTGACCCGTTGTCCTAATCATGCGAGAATCTTTGGTGCCACCGAGCATACAATAAAAAAGGTTTAATAGAAATAAGCAAAAAACAACATACAAACCGAGTGGAATAATGGATTCAATAGACGGAGACTCGACTCGGCGCCGGCGGCAAAAATGCCATCCGGCCCCGGAAACTCGCCAAATGCGGCAATGGACCCCGGCGCTCCGGCCACAATTAACCTCCGATGCCCGACGACAGCTCGACAACAGCTCGCCTTGGTCGATGTCAGCCAACGCACCCTCGCAACTTGTCATCACTCAAGACGAACAATCTCCCCGAAGAACGGCACGGCTCTAGTAGCATGAAGAAGCGACCGTAGCCATCTTCGCTGTTCCACCGACCACGATGAGCGCATCAAGCCCACCCCGGCGTACGTCGTCGGCTCCCAAGACTCGCGCATGCAGCAATTGCGCTCGACTAAAGATGAAGTGCGCCTGGCCGAGGGACGACTCTGGCCGTTTGTCGACAACATGTACAAGGTGAACATGTAGTCAACCCCCATCGCCTGCGGAAATAGGAGCCGTCAAAACTCACAGTGGCTGCGTTGTCTAGATGCGCGCGGCTGAAGATGACGTGCGACGTTCCCGCGCCGTCACAGCGGCGGAAACGAGGCAAATCGAGGTACGCCCAAGTCCAGTCATTCGGTATACAAAGTGTGGTACACTAACGAGCCTAAAAAACACAAACACAGTCGAGTCGCCCTGCTCGAGCAAAAGATAGACGGCATCATGTCCTTGCTCGCCGAGAACCAACATGGACAGCAGCAGCCAGGTCCATCACCAATGACCCCCGAAAGCCAGCTCGCGCACAAAACCAGCCCTGCAATCCCCCAAGTCCTTCAAACCGAGCCGCCCCGTTCAACGGGGTCCGGCAACCAGACTCTCTTCCGCCTCATCCCCGACTTCCAGGTAACCGACCGCGAAGCATCACGCTTCCTCTCCATATACGCCTCCGAATACGCGCCCAACTTTCCCTTCGTCATGGTCCCCTCCGCCGCCGTCGCCCACGGCCTACACGACCGCAGCCCAGGCCTATTCTGGGCCATCATGACCGCCGTGGCGCCGCAGTCCTTCGCCGTCCAGCAGCGCGTCAAGACGTGGTTCCGGCAGTACGTGGCAGACCATGTCATTGTCCGGCAGGAAAAGACCCTGCAGCTACTGCAGGCCATTCTCGTGCATCTCGCGTGGTCAGTACCCCCCGCCGCCTCAAGCATACATGTACAGCCCCCGGAGTTGTGACATCGGGGGGGAGGGCCAACAGCTGAAATAGGGGCGACTTCCACTTCTACATCAACGCCGAAGCAACAAACCTCCTACACCTCGCCCTGGCGCTGGCCACGGACCTCCGGCTCGACAAGTCGCCCGAATCCAGCGCCGCCACGATACGCTCCCAGCTCGGCGAGGCCTGGACGGCTCTCCATCAGGGGGGCCCAAGCAGACTCGGCATCCCGCACACCCTCGACGACCAGAGAGCCGTCTTGGGCCTCTACCACCTGTCTTCACTGTAGGCAAAACAAAGCTGAAGCATGCTTGAAAGGAGAACCAAAGCTCACACACCCCGCCTCGCCAGAATCTCGGCACTGTTCAAGCGCGGCCCCCGATTCCCCTGGACGCCCTACCTCTCCCAATGCTGCGACGCGCTCACCAGCGCCCGCGAGCACCCATCAGACGCCCTCCTCACCGCGCTCGTTCGAATCCAACACATCGCCGACGGAGCGTACAGCATCCTCCCCACGCCGGGCGGCACGGCGCGCACATACACCGCCCCCCTCGACATGGCCGTCGCCCACGCCCGGCGCCAGCTCGACGCCTTTGCCGGCGCGCAGCCCGAGACCGTCCAACAAGACAGTAAGAAACACCCTCCCCTCCCCCCCTTTCCCCCGAAATCCGCATCTCAAGGAGACCAAAAAAGCCCCAGCGCGCCGCTCACGCCCCCTCCCCTTTCCCTGCAGGACTCTTCACCACCTGCCACCGCGTGCTCACAACGCGCCTCTACGAGCCGGCCCTGGCCACGGCGGCCCCGGCCCCGACCGACCCCGACGCCCTCCCCGGCGAGCCCTTCCTCCGCGCCGACTCGCTAGCCAAGTGTCTCGACTCGTCGCGCGACTCCCTCGCCGCGCTGCTCTCCATCGCCCCCGACCACCTGTGCCGCCTGCCGCTGACGGCCTCCGCCGCCCTCGCCTTCACCGTCGCAACCACCTGCCGGCTGCTGCTGCTCGACGCCGCGCCCGACTGGCGGCCCGACGCGGCCCGGGCCAGGCTCGACTTCGCAACCGCCCTCGAGGGGCTCCAGGACAACTTTGCCCGCGCGGACGAGTGGGCGGCGGAGAATGCCCGCAGGAGGAGGCTCGCGGGGGACGGCGGCGGCGCCGAAAACACCAGGCCGGACCAGTATACGAGCAAGCTGGGGTGGATCCGGCAGTGGTACGTGGCGAAGACGGGGCAGGCGGAGCAGCAGCCGGCCGCCGGGGCGCGGGCCCAAGAGGGCACTTTGATGCCGGCGGCACATGCTGAGCCGTGGCCCCATGATGTCACGCTCGACTTTGACTTTTGGCCAGATTTGATATCTATGTCTGACATGGCCGTGCAGACATTCTCGGGAAACACATGGACCGATGGTTGAGTCAAACTAGTTTCGGAATATATCTATATTTGAATAGCAATAATATCTCTCCAACGATTGTATCCATTACGCCTCGTGGTATCATGACAAAAAAATGCTTATGACCATGCCTGTAATCCTGAAAAATCTTGCCTCTGGCCTAATCTAACCAAGCCCAAACAGTTGCAAATGCCGCATCACAGTGTAGCCTTTACCCCTTAGTTTATGGCTGAGGCTGCTGTCCTGGACCCCATAAACTATGCGATACGGCTGCCTGTGCCCGTGTCGGTGCGGCTAGCCCACTGCCAGTGCCGTCATACGGATTGTAACGCCCTTGCATTACACCAGTCTGCTGCCGAGTGTCGTGGTGTTGGAATTCGCGAGACTGATTCGCCCCAAATGCCTCGTACGGCGACGCATCTCGTTGCAGTTGCGGAGGTGCTGTGGAATGGTCACGAGCCTCCGGATTGGGCTGAGCGTTATCCATCAAGCCAGCCCTTTCTTCAACTCTAGAAGAGTAATATGGGTTTGCCTGCTGAGAGGGGTGCCCGTATGCTTGCGTGACTGAGCCATATTCGTCGTGCTGACCTGGATCGCCGGCTCCGGATCGCCCAGGCTCGTGGGAGCCACCGCCTTCTTTATTGTCAGGGAGGTTATCCATGTCAAGGCCGTCGCCCCGATTCCGGCGGTAACTGATATCTTCCTTGCGGCGCTTGACTCCACAGCAGAGCCATCTCATGCCTCGGCCGAATGCTTTGATGAAATCCCATAGATTCAGTGCATCATACAACGCCATGAGTCCCATGGAACCACCCGAGGGCGCCTGGCGCTCGTTTTCGACGGCGGGAGAGGCCTCGTCTGCGTTGGGGTTGGGATAATATGTTCGGGGTGCGCCGACAGTATACGGCGCATACGGAAAGGCCCAAAGGTGGAGTATCGCAAACATGGCCATCTCGACGCAAAGGAGTAAAGCCGGGATGCCGACTTTTAGATCTGGATATGCGATAACCTCATTAGGATGAACAATCCTGAGAGTCGATGTGCCAACCGAGATGGCTGATGCCTGCCAGAAAGACAAGAAAACGACCAATTTGATGGCAACAATTTTGACAAAAAGCTTGTGCTCGGCTAACGGCTCTTTGAGTTGGACGTAGAATTGGATAAGGCAGTACATTGCGATTGTAACAGCTATTGCGTTAATCACAATGATCTGTAAAAAATGAAGATATTAGCTCTCCATAGCAAGAATAAATCAAGCCATGTTACATACCCAAATGTGACCAAATACTGGGCTGTTGGAACTTTCGCAGTATCTTTTGAAGTACTGGGACACAACTGCAGATATGGTCATGGCGACACGAATAAAGCAGTAGTGATATACACCAATCCAGATGATATTGAACCACGTCAAACCACTCTTCGGTAACCTCCAAATACCTCGCTCGCCGCCACAGCATTTGGCAAACCAATTGACTGGCATAACCCATGGCTTGATTGGGTACAACTCGCGAAAGAAGGATTTTTGACTGCGTATATCCGGTGCCACGTAGTGACACAGCAGCGCGAAGAAGGACGCAATAGCAAAAGCTTCGTAACAATCCGCGATGACCTGAAAGTAGATGGCATGCCAGTACCACTCAAGTTGCAAATATGACGAGATGGAGTACACGGGAACCATGAAAAGAATACGAATGATGCTAAAAGGCTCATGGTTAAAGTGGAAGTCGGCAGAAAATGGCTCTTCAATCACTTACTATCGCTGCTCACGAGGCTGGGTGTAGTGTAGAGCGTGCATCCAAATAAGGTACAAACTGAGCGCTGTGGCAATGAGGGTACTCGATGCGGAGATGACTCGAGCGAGGTCATGGAAGTTGAGGCGCCCGGCAATGAGGCGCTCCGAGCCAGGCGATACTGTGTCGAGTAGCGTTAGTATTGGATGCCGTAGCTACATGCATGGACAAGACGTCGCCTCAAAAGTCATGGCATCAGGGAGCATGGCCGCCTCAGAAATGAACGACAGCTATATCGCAAACCCAAGAGAGAGAAAAACATACTTTTCATATCCTCCAGCGTAGTGTTGCAAGTCAGATTCATGGTTGTGGCTGCAGCTCACGGCTGTGCGTTGTCTTGGCACCGTCTTGGTCTTGGCCCTCCAGGGGCAACGAGTATCCAACCTCGGCCGATTGTAGAGATGTAAGCTGATATGAAAAGGCGAGTCAACCTTCAGATCTAAATGTTGTGATATGGTTGTATGTTCTCGGCATTGAAGGCTGCCCAAGGATATCTTGCGCCCACGAGGTCGGGGATCTTTCCTGGGGTTGTCGCAAAGGAACGAGCGGAGCTGCTGACGACCGAAGGATCCTCGAAATGGCTCGTAGAGGCGGATGGGTCCGCCTAAGTATGTAGTAAGTATGTTTTTATGCTGGTTGTAGCCGGCTCTATTCGATGCTCCCGTGTTTGAACTCTCGACTGGGCTCGCTTGCTTCGAATGACTGGATATGAATGTACCCTGCGGGAATGGCGCAGAAATGTCTTGGTCGCACGCTATACAGTTTAGGATCGGGTCAAATACACATTAAAAACGATGTGAAAGGGCAAAGTCAGGCTACAAAGGAAAACAATCGCAAGGCGAGCAAACTCTCGGTCGAGGAGTTATGAATGCAGTACGTCATGCACACAGTGAATGGTGAATGAAAGAAGGTGATGTTTGCCGCAATCCCAGGGGGATAAAACGGACCAAGGCGCTTGGAAGGGCGGGAAGGCGCGACAGAGTGACGGAATGCTGGTGGGGAGAGGCAAGTGCCATTGGTGGCCTGGGGGTGGTCGGTGCGAGGACGTCACCTGTTCCTGGCCTATTCCCTTCTTGTCTGCGTCCCTGTCAGATTGGAAGGGTCGGCGGCTGGTCGTTCCTGCTGGTTGTTGCCTTTTTGTTCAAAGGCGCTCCGCTTGGCCTCTTTATATCTTCTTTATTTCCATGCAGCACCACCGACGACCAAATTCTCTTTCTTCGTTGGGAGTTTGAAATGACGTTCAGCGCGTGCTTCTCTGGCGCCCAACACCGTTGCTTGCGGAACAAATTCTGCCTCGCCACCCCTGAAAAGCCACGACATTAATTACAAGACGGACCCGACTTGCATGTGCTTAGGCTAGAATGCGACCCATGTCGCCTGGTTCAATTCGATGTGGAGTGAAAATGGATGGCGGGATGTGCTACCAACGGAATGGATCTGGTGGGAAACTTCAACGTCTCAGGTCTCACTTGCAACGATCTACTACTCCGTACGGCCAGCATAGCCTCCTCCGCTGGGACCCTGCCAACTGCCACGCCACTTTGTGGACACTCGACTCTCTTCCAGCAATCGCCTACTTGACCCCTTTCTAGCGTGTTTCAGCAAGGCATCATCTTTAGCACGACAAAGAATAGTGATTTCAACGGGGCTACATCACGGGGCCTCTGACTGCCTCTCCCAGGGGGCATCGCAGATTTATCGAATACGTACGGTTGTTCCGCGACCCTTTTTGTCCGAAGTTTGTGTTGCAACACACCAAGCACACAATGCTGTTTGTTGGTCATTCAACACGGTAGTGTTAGCTGTACGTGGCGGTGCCCGGGATGATGCAGATGCTCATGTCGCACGGAAGTAGGGGCTTTGACCAGACTGGCCAGCTCAGGCTCACTGAGCCACGCTTTTTGTGTTTGGATCGTCGGAATACGCATCCGAAAGCTGGAGAGAAATACGCACAGCAAATTACCTAGCGGGAACAGATCGGGGGTGTGCTCTGTAAGAGACCGAGAAACCCGGTGACACGGTTGCTTCTGCGTGCGGCTCGGGACCGAGCGACAGTGGGGTCGTGACTCGTTCCTCTGTAAGTTGCTGATGGCGTCACGATCCAACTTAAAGGTGAACTTCTCAACCGGCAGAGCGATTCGTTTTGGGACACGACCTGAAGAAATTTCTCTCTTTCTTTCCTTTGTGCACCGTCAGCTGGCTATGCCAACTCCAGGAACCCTTAGACGGGGGATCACACTTCGGGGTCTCCAGATGTCATTGTTTTTTGTTCACTAATGTGACCTGTCAACAGGCTTTTTTGGTTACCCATTGTCCAGCCTTGCCCCAAGAGAAACTGCAACAGACCATGCTGGAGGCCGTCAACGGCTGCACTGTCATGGTTCTCTCCAGTGACTTCCATGGCCGGAATCCGGATACTTTTCATGTGCCTGCTACAGTGCTACCTTTAAGGCGATCAATCAGACCTTACATGCCGTCTTCCGTGTCCTCCTCTTCCGTGTCCTCCTCTTCCGGACCACAGTTTCCCTATGCGACGAATATTGGCTCTTCTTCTTTGAAGGGAAACCCCTTTGGTTGATCCCCACGCCAGAATCAAGAAGAAGGCGCGGCCACTGCCTGCTGGCGGAGATCGTTCCCGAAATAGCCTCTCCTGGTACTTCACTATTGAGAAATCATCCTGCCAGACCGTGGACTTACGGCAATGATTGTGTCAAAGGGAGTTCAATCTGTGTACAACGAACAAAACAAAAAGAGGCCGCCGTGGGAATGACCATAGAGAGCTCTCCGCGTGTGGTGTCCAGCTAGAAACAGATGCGAGAGCAATTTATCTTCCACGAATGCCATGAAATCTTCACGAATGAACTCCAGGAACTGGTCCGCGTCACACTCGCTGTTTAGCAAAGGCTTATAGTAGTCATCTTCAGATAGAGCTCCGAGATCAGGCTCGCGGCACAACAAAATGTGCACACACGAACGCGGAGGATATCCGACGCCAAAGACAATGACTTTACAACCATCAGTAGCGAAGTGTAGTCTGCTGGCAATGTCGACTGCGGCGAAGAAGTACTCATTGCCATCTACAAGATGTCAGAGAAGAAGACTTAGCTTTGGTGCTCAATGGGAAACGTGAGAGACTCACACGAGAGATGCTGAATCGTCAGCTTCTCCAGGTTTTCGATCCTGGCTCCAGCTCAGCGGCCAGGCCACCTGGACGAGATGGGTTTCTCTTCT